TGACTCCACTCCTTTGCTGTGTGGTCTGGAGCTGGTTCCCTTCTTGGGCTGTTAAGTAAGAAAATGGACACTTGGGGACAGAATAAAGGAGAGGCTCCATTTAGCTGGAGCCAAACCCTCCATGGGGAGGGGAGGCAAGAGTCTTGGGGACGATGGTGTGGCGGGTGGGACAAGACCATGGTGAAAGTCTGTATAGCCCTGTTGCTATAGAGACTAACCTTGCCCCAATCCAGTCTGAAGGTGGGAGCATAACCCTCCAAATAGCAGATAAGCAGTATGAGGAACTGAGACAGGAGGTCCCATGTACCTGTGGTTGCCATGTGTACATTTCATCCACATGGTCCTGGCATTAAACGATTGGGGTGACCATTGTCCAGAGGACAGACGCTCAGAGAGGGAAATGACCAAACCAACATCACACAATGAGAACACATTCCAACCCTGTCTCAGAGAACTCTGAGGCATCTGGGAGCAAGCCTAGGGACTTGTCCCCTTTCAGGCCACAGCCTCTGCGCAGGGCTCTACGGTATCTATAGGGAAAGCTGGCTCGGGGGACCTAGCTCCCTAGTCATGACACCCTTGCTTTCTTTTCCATTCTCTGAACCCAGGAGTCTTTTTCCGGCCCCAGGGCCTTTGCACATATCCTCATCCTGTCAATTCCTCCTCATCTTTCAGACATCAGCAGAACTATAACTTTCTACAGCTAACTTTGTGTGGCTTTCCATCCTTCCTGACCCCCACCTTTCCCCAGGGCTCTGGCCCCTGCCACCATTCTCATGTGTGGCTATGTTTATGATCTCTTTTCCTTAAGAAACTGGCTGGGTACCCCTGAGATCACAGACCTCAGTTCTTAGGGTCCCTACTGGGCCAAGTACAGGAGACTGGGGTGCTGTTCTATGCTTCTGCCTTGTGGGGCTGTGAGGCTTTCAAGTGTGGCCTGCCCCCTACTTCCTGAGATGGACTTCATGTCCTCAGCCCTGCTGAGGGATGACGTCACTCCTTAAGTGGCTTCTGAGCTGCTCCAGGCTTGCGTGGGCTCTGGATGTGTGTGCACATGGCCCTAGGAACACGCACGTGTGCTCACGGGCCTCCGTGAGTAATTCCAATGGCACTTCCAAACGCTGTCTCCATGGAGAGGCCGCCCCCACCCACCCAGCCCCAGGTGGCTGCCTTTGCCACCCTTCTGGCTCCCCCCGCCCGATTCTCCATGACCCAGATTCGACCTGCCTTGACTCCCACATCCCCAGGCCTCAGGCTTCTACAAGCTCAGGGCTGGGGGCCTCTCCCCAGACACACCCTCTCATTCAAAATCTGTTCCAGGTTCCAGCAATGCTTATTGAGGCCATGTGGAAAGAGAGTGGGTGCTGGTGGGTGGCTGCCTGGTTTGGATCATGGTTCCTTCACCCTGAAGATAGTGATGCTTCGCCTAAGGGAGCTGAAACTCTAATGTGGCCCTCAGAGCCTCCAGGAGCTGGCTGTCCTCTGTGTCCTCCCTTTCTAACACACACACACACACACACACACACACACAGGTGTGCCTGCTTCTGCCCTAGTTGCTTCACCACCTAAAATATTCTTCACGCATCCCTCACTCCTATCCAGAGAAACCGTTCCAGAAAGCCTTTCCTCACTTCCCTGTCATCTGCTCCATGCCCAGAGGACATGGCCAGTGACTTACGAGTGAGTAGATAAGCAGCCGATTGAGTGCAGAGCCCCCGCAGGCTGGCAGCTACCTTGCTTTCATAGCCATTCTTCACCATAAACACAGCATAAGTGGGTGTCATTGCTCTAGACTTCTGGTCCATCAGTGCTGTGAGGTGGGTGGTGGGATTCCCATCTTTTGGATAAAGATGGCAGGTTTCCAGAGGCACAGGGTCAGCCTTCAGGCCCAGTGTCCACTGCTGCCTCGGGGTTACCTGTAAATGCAGTGATCTCAGGAGTCTCACTGAGATGGCATCATGTCCTGGGAACTCCTGCCCACTGGAGAAGGACGGGGTTCTGTGTAGAGGGTGTGGGAAGGAGCCCCAAGGTCTTCCGGGTCAACCTCCTTCCTACCTAAAGCTCAGGCTCTGCCTCTGAACACCAGGAACTGCCCCAGACCTCCTCCAGGTCTCATGTCACTGCATCTGAGAGACTCCTAGAAAGCATGGACTCAGGGCCACCAGCTCCCCTTGCATCACAACCTCAGGAAGGTTGGGAGGAGATGTAACCTCCTTCTCCAGAAATTGCTGGCCCAAAATAGTCTCCCCAAGCTTCAATTGCTTCCCTTGACAAACTGCCTGGCCAGTCCTGCTACCCTCCTGGGTCTGTGCACTCAGATGGCTCTGAAGAGGAGAGGCTGTGTCTTCTAAGAGAATGCTACACCCCATGCCAGGGAGCTGGCCCGTGATCCAGGGAACGGGTGCTGGGATGAGAACTCACACCTGAGGAACAGAGGAACGGCCATCTTCAGTCTCACACAACAGGGAAGTACAAGAGGCCTGGATTAGGTCATGGCTTCAAAGCAGCTGGTTCGGGTTCTGAAAACATAAATGGATTGGAAGGTCCCTAAGAAGGAGGTGGGTCCCCTTGGCAGGCACATCTGACTTCACAGTGCCCTGTGGCAGCCTGTGTCTCCAGGATCAGTACCTGTGAAACCACTCAAGAGCTTGGTAGGAAATGTAGTCTCTGGTTTTACCCCGTTTAGATTTGTGGTCCAGGCGACTTGCTGTGGGTGCCCTGTCAATGTGAGGAGCATTGACAGAGAAAGTGGACTAGGGAGAAGGTGTGCTTTCCACTAGTGACTCGCCATCGGCACTCTGGCCTCCAGTCCTGGGCTGCCCAGCCACAGGGTAGTGATGTCCCTAGAGAACGGAGGGGACATGGGGACACAGTATCCCCTCCCTCAGCACTTTTGTGTTTACATTAGCCTTCCTTTCTAACATTTGGAATTAGAAACTTACCGTAATGCTTTTCCGTCTCTCTCGTCACGTCAGCACTGAGCTGTGAATGGTTCTCCGGGTTCAGCTTTAGCAAATGTCCCACAAGTGACATTTTCATCATCAGTCACTCCTAAATATTATTTTCATTTTCTAGTGCTTATTCCCTGACCCATGAGTTACTTCTGGATTTTAAAATTTTGGGGGTGTATATGTGTGTAAGTACAGGCACACAGCACGTATGTGGAAGTCAAAAGACAACTTTAGGGAGTTATTTTTTGCCTCCTCCAGAGAACTCAGGTCAAGTTTGCTTGGCAAGATTTCTTAACTTCTGGGTCATATTATCAGCCCCTATTAGTTCCCCCCACACACACACACACACCCTCTTGAGACATGGTTTCAATGTGTAGCCCTGGCTGGCCTGGAGTTTGCTATGTAGACCAGTCAGACCTCGAGCTCAGAAACTCCTTATGTAGCCCAGGCTGGCTTTGAACTCTTGATGAAGATGACAGCACACATCACCACAACTGGCTTGTACTGTGTCTTTGGTATTGAGACTTACTTTGTAGCTCAAAACGCAGCCAGTTTTTGCAAACATCACACATTGATTCGAAAAGAACACCTCTTTGCGCCTTTGAGGATTAAGCAGTTTCTGTGTTCTTAAGGTGCAACAGCAATTCTGTCAGAGAGGAATTCTTCGGAAGCTGAGGGAGGAGTCCTGATAAGGCTGTACTTCAGGGAAGGCCTCTGGCAAAAGGTGATTCTCAAAGATCTGTGTTAGCCTGGAAAGAATGATGGGAAGGGCGTCCGACCCAGAGGAAACAGCACAGGCAAAGCAGGCATGAAGGGGAAAATGAAATGGAAACAGTGGATCTTTCTAGAAGCCAAGGGAGATGAGCTTATCTGGGCTGGTCACAAAAGTTATGCTTATTAGAAAGCATGTCCCCACCGCAGAGAAAGGTGTGGCAAGAGCTGTAAGCATCATAATGTCAATACCAGGTAAGGATTGGTACTGGTTGTCTGGCAGAGCTGTAACTGCAGCCAGGCCCCTGCTGTGCATTCCAGTTTGACTCATTAGTCCCCTGAAGCTCTAGGCGGTAGGTAGCAGGATCATCCACCTTTCATAGGTAAGGAAACAGACACCAGGGAGGTTAAGTGAATCCATCACAGGCCACACAGCTGCAGGCGGTGGATCCAAGCACTTCCATTCCCTTCCCTTCTCCGTCCCTTCCCTGCTCCGTGCTGCTGCCGCCTGGCACTTTTATTCTGGTGACGCATGTGGGTGGCACAGGTGCTACTGTGAGTCTTGTATCAGGACTATAAAGGGGACATTGCAGAGAGTCTCCTACAAAGGCCATTTGGGGGGTTTGAGAGCTACTATGACCCACCTCCTCTGTTCAGATGGGGAAACTGAGGCTCACCTTTGTTCACATGAAAAGTGGGAGATAGAACTCAAAATCTGCACTGTGGGAAGGCTTGCCTTGCTTTGGAGCAGGGGAGACATGGGGCAGAAGGAGAACTGGAGGGTAGGACCTGTGGCAATGGAATGAAAGCGGATACATGCATCTTTATGGGGGGGGAGGGAGGGAGCTGCTTTATTAGGGTACTGGAGTCCTCTACCTTGACTGGAGACCTCAGGAAACCAGGCCTTTCACAGACAGAGGCCAGGCAGGCTATTCCTGCTGACCCCCATCAGCAGCCAGAGAACCAGCCCCACCCGGCCAGGCAGATAGGTGATAGGCACAAGGCACAGCCAGCTTCCTCTCAGCCCTGGGTGGCAGAGACTGCCGCTCTTGAGAAAATGATGTGTCTGTTCCGGGAAACCAAATGCCCTACAATGAATCGAATTAGATTTCATAGGCACATGAAAACGCGATCCATCTTAAGCACACTCTGCAAACCCCGGCCACAGATGAATATTTCATTCTGTCTCAGCAGCCAGAGCAGAATAGCAAGCAGCAGCCAGGACCTCCCCAGAAGGCGGGGCCACGTGTCCCCATAGTGTGTGTGTGTGGAGCAGGGAGAATACAGCCTGTGCCACTTTGCACTAATGTGACCTCAGGCGGTCTCTTTGGTTTCCAGATATTGCAGTGGCTCCCATCCTGATCCCCACCTCCTGAGCATGGAAATTCATGTGCATTCATGTCACAGAGCCACCTTGGATGTCAGCATGGTATTGTATTGGTGTTGAGGACACAGCCTTGAACAGGACAATCCAAAGGTACTTTCAGAGCTCATAACCCAGGTGAGGAAATAGGCATGGATACAAAGACCACACCAGACATAAGTGAGCTGTACTGCCATATGAGGAAGAGAAGGGAACCTCCCATGTAGGTACAGGGTCAAGAAAAGTGTCCCCAAGGTGGTGATGCTTGAATCAAGCTACAAATTTCAAAAGGTACCCTAAGACACTAGCTCTGCACATACAAAAGTCCTGAGGTAGCAAAGTGCTTATGAGTTTGAAGAATAACAAAGCCACATGGCTAGAATCAAGGCCAAGGTAAGGATTGGGTTCCTGCTACATCAAAGTCCCAGAGATTGAACAACTATTTCCAGCTGCAAATGGATGTGAAGGCGGGCCCCTTCACCTCTGTGTGTTCAGTTTCCCCTTCTGTAAAATGCAACCTATTGCAAATCTGTCACTTGCGCTAACATGTCAGGTGACTGGGGTCCTGTGTCAGGGAGGGAAGGACGTGCTATTATTATCATCATGACAGTAACTCGTTTATATTCAGATGACTCTGTTAGTGCCACATCCTGCAGTGGCTCAGGGTAGCCTAAAGAGAAAGCACAGAGTAGGCGAGAGCCTGGGGCCTCAGCCTCTGAGAAAGGAACCTAGAATCTGGGAGATGCTCTGCCAGGATGTGCTGCTGGAAGAGGGAGCCAGACAAGGTGCTCCTAGGTAATTACTTTCATTGTCTGTGCTGGGAATGGAATCCAGGGTTTCTCCATATGCGAGGCAAGTGCTCTGCCACTGAGATATATCCCCAGCCCCTGAAACAGGGTCTTACTATGGCATGAATTTGAGGTCCTCCTGCCTTCGCTTTTGGAGTGTTGGGATTGCAGGCATGAATGACTACACTGTTACTATAGTGCTGGGATAAAACCCAGGGCTTTGTGCATGCTGATGAAACACTTTACCAACTGCACTACAACCCCAGCCCCAGTCTAGGTGATTTCCAATGAATAGAAATGAGGCGGCTCACTGTTCTAGGAGGCAAGAGAGTGTCCAAGGGCCAACGTCTGGTAAGGGTCTTCTTGGTGTGTCCTAAAATGGTGGAAGAACTGAAGTGGGGGCAGGGAGAGGGGGAAGGGCAAGCCCCAAAGGGGGTCTAACCTTAGGCTTTACTCCCAATACCATCCTAATGGCACTTGCATTAAATCCCAATGGATATTGGAAGGAGCAAACATTCAAACCACAGCAGGATGCAATTTTCGTATGACCTGTCCAGGATAGAGGGAATTTTTGTCCTTTAAAATCCCAGAGGGTCATGCTAGGGCTTCAGGGGAATCCTTGGGGGAGAGAGAGCCTGAGCTGCCTAGAGGTGGAGCCACCCCTTGGGAAATACTGAGCCACCAGTCTCTGGAGTACTCAATGAAACCCAATACTTTTCCAGAGATAGGAGGTGATTAATATTGCTGCATAATTTTCCCCATCTAGCAAACATTTGTTCCCTCTTGGTTTCTGTGGTTCTGGAATTTCAGAGTCATTTGGCTAGACAGTTCTGGCTCAGGGCCTCCTGTTAGCCTATGATCATCTGAGGGGGGATTAGAGGCTGGAGGATCTGCTTCCAAGCTCGCTTGCAGGGTGGCAGCAGAGTCACAGGGCTGCCTGAGTGGGCACCTTCTTCCCCTCAGAACAAGAGACCCAGATAGCAGCCTGGCACCTGCACTGTCTTTGTGACAAGCATGGAAACAGGTGTGGTCATCTCAGGAGCCTGCTGCTGGCACCATCAGCCTCACTGTCTGCCAGGAAGGGGTTGACTAGAACAGGGTTAAGCTCAGAGCATGAGACCCAGTGGGGGCTGCCACACGATTGGACAATGAAACCTTAACTGTACCTCCCAGTGCCAAGTATTCCTGCCAGGCCTCTTTTTCCCCAATGCACTGGTTGGATTTGGTGGTTCAATCCCTGCAGGCCAGTGGCGGGGTAAAGTCAGAGTCCCCAGGAACACTGAGGTAGGCTTCGGGTTCCCTAGAGGACAGGCTCCATGCCCAGGTACCAAAAATCTCTGGTGTTACATCCCTGGCACACAGGCTACCAGGGGCACATCCCTCCACTCTCCAGAACACATACACAGGTGAGATCCTGTTTTGCAATCTCCTCTTTCAGTAGCTTTTTCTAAATGCTCTTCTAAAATGTGTTGGGGGGTGGGAAGCATGCTGCAGTGTCCACATGCATTGTGTCTTTCACTGGCCTGGGCCTTCTGATTTAGGCCAGGCTGGCCAGTGAACCCAGAGATTTTCCTGTCTGCCTTCCCAGCATTGGGATGGAAGATGTGTGCTGTTATACCCAGCTTTTTAAAAGTGTGTGTTCTGGGGATCAAACTCAGGTCCTTGAGCTGACATGGCAAATGCTTTACTCCCAGCCCCTAAATGCTCTTCTGCGAGGCAGTGCTGAGGGTACAGAGTGTGATGAGGAGCTGAAATCAAGGCCCTTATGATCTGACTCCAGGTGATTGTCCCTTTTACACCTGCCCCCCCCAGGAGGGGGCAGCCTGTAAACCCTCAACATTCCCAGAACCTTGCTCCTTTGTTGTGATTCATATTTCATTTTCATGACATAGTCTCCCCTAGCAGGCAGGGTGGTGCACACCTGCAATCCCAGCACTCAGCAGCCTGAAGTAGGGGTACAGTTCCAGACCAGCCTGGACTACATAGAGAGACCCTGTCCCAACAAACAAAACTAGACAGAAAAAGCATTTTCCTCGTAACCGTTTCTACTGAAGTCTTACTTGTTGGTCTGGGAAGATAGCTCAGTCAGTAAAGCGCTTGCTGTGCCAGCATGTGGACTTGGGTTTGGTCCTCAGAGCTTATATAAAGGGGCACACTTGTAATCTCAGCACTGGGGAGACCGAGGTCCAGTAGATCCTTGAGACTTGCAGCCTAGTGCGCTTGGAGAGGTCCACGTCAGTGAGAGACCCTGTCTCAAAAACAAAACAAGTTGAGCTGTAACTAAGGAATGTGGGGTGGGCCTCTGGCCTACACACACACACACACACACACACACACACACACACAGTGGATCTTACTGACCTTCAAATATCTGGTTCCACCACACACACCTCCTCTAGGGAGCCCTCCCATTGCCCCACTGAGTGCTGATCTCTCCCCACACTGGCCTGTGTCTCTGGCTTTGACACTTCCTGGGATGTGTTTTTATGTGCTATCTAATTGTTGTGTGTATTTCTGCCTCCTGCACTTGACCATGGGCTTGAGGGCTGGGACTGTGTGAGTCAGAGCAGGCCCCATAAAGGCTGGGGGAATTGAATTAAATGTGCTGGCAGTGGCTGCATTCTGACCATTTTATTCTGCTGTTTGCCAGCTTGACCTTCCAGGATGGTCCCTCAGCAGGGGCTGGAATGAAACAAGCCTCCAGGTCCGCCTACTCCTAGCCAGAGCTTTCAGACAGACAGCCCGCCCCCCTGCCGCGCCCCCCCCCCCCCCCCCTTCTCCAGACTCCGAAGGCCAGCCTGGTAAAGTCTTGCTGAGCAGTTAGAGATAGTGTTCCCCTGAGCATGGCACCAACTTGGTGTCAAATCAGATGTCATTACCTGAAAGCAGAGAACCCAGCACCTGGGTTCAAATCCTAGCCCTGCCCTGTGTGACCTTGTACAGATTATCTTTCTGTGCCCGGATTCTCTCTCTCGGGACAGAACTCAAAGACCTACCCAGAGGGCTGCTGTGAGAATCCTACTATGTGTGCCCTTTGCTGTGGGCATGCAGGAAGTGGAGAACACACTTCAGAAGCACTGACCTGAAGGACTTGGGGCTTCCTATAGGCACCCAGCTCCTCTCTGTTGGGCACCTGCTGAACTTTGTGGGGTGCTCTGTGTTTATACTCTTCCTGAGGCTCACAGATACCCTGTGGGGATAGGGAGATATATTTTTAAGCTGACCTAGGGTACACATAAAATGTACCAATCAAGCCTCTTTGTGTATGTACAGGCGCGTACTTGAGTGCACCTGAGGAGACCAAAGAGGGTGTTAAAGCCTTTGGAGTTGGAGGGGTTTTTTTCTTTTTTTTTTCTTTTTTAAAATTAGAAACAAGATTGTTTTATATGTCAATCCCAGTTCCCTCTCCCTCCTCTCCCCATCTGCCTGCCCCCCCCCCACACACACTGAACCCCTATCCCAATCCCTTTCTGCTTCCCAGGGAGGGTGAGGCCCTCCATGGGGGATCTTCAGAGTCTGTCATATCCTTTAGGATAGGGCCCGGGCCCACCTCTATGTGTCTAGGCTCAGGGAGTATCCCTCTGTGTGGAAGAGGTTCCCAAAGTCCATTCCTATGCTAGGGATAAGTACCCATCTACTACAACCTATAGATTTCTGAGGCCTCCTCACTGACACCCACATTCATGGGTCTGGATCAGTCTCATGCTGGTTTCCCAGCTTTCAGTCTGGGGACCAAGAGCTCCCCGTTGTTCAGGTCAGCTGTTTCTGTGGGTTTCTCCAGCCTGGACCCCTTTGTTCATCTCTTCTCCTTCTCTGCAACTGGATTCCAGTTCAGATCAGTGTTTAGCTGTGGGTGTCTGCTTCTACTTCCACCAGCTGCCGGATGAAGGCTATAGGATGGCATATAAGTCAGTCGTCAATCTCATTATCAGGGGAGGGCTGGAGTTGGAGTTTTACGCATTTCCATCTTGTTCATGGGTGCTGGCATCTGAACTCGGGTCTCGTGACTATGCAGCTGCTGCTTGTAACTAGTAACCATTGAGCCAACTCTCCAGCCACAGTCTCACCTGCACCTACAGCCTTGTTTTTTAATTTTTTATTTTAAGACAGGGCCTCACCAAATTGCTGAGGTTGTTTTTGAACTTAACTGTAGCCAAGACGGACAGTGAACCTCCAACCCCAGCCTCTCGAGCAGCTTGTGCACCAGGCCAGCCATTCTAAAGCTGCAGTAGGGTGGCATGGAGCACAGTCCCAGTGCAAACCCACCATCGGCACCTCTGTTATATAGTTCCTCCTGAACCCCTACCAACCTCACACCCCTGAGGGTGTCACCCCCAGCACCCTCTCCCA